GCCAGCATTGCTGGCCAGTCCCCCCAGAGCCCCTGCCACTCTCACTCTGCTAGAGATCCTGACTGGAGAGCAAAAAGATGCATTTTCTCCCTAGCTACTACACATGTTAATAGAAGTTAACTCCCTGGGAGTTGTTAAAAAAAAAATCTTTAAATAACAATCTGATGTTATCATCAGGGATTACAAACAAAACAAAGAACCACCAGTTGTCTGGCCTGGCAATTAAGATGTCCTGCCTAGGAGGATCCGGGTTCAATCCCAACCCCAACTCCTGACTCCAGCTTCCTGCGATGCTGACCCCGGGATGCAGCAGCGATAATGAGAGCCACATGGGGGATGCAGATGTCATTCCCAGTTCCTGACCCATGCCTAGACCCAGGCATGGTGGGCATTTTGGACGTGAACCAGCAGAGGAGGTTACATACATGCTCACACTCTTTCCTCACTCCTCAAATCCAAAGAAATAAAATTAAATAATAAAAAAAAAAAAGAGGCTAGCACTGAGGGGTAGTGAGTTAAGCCATTGCCAGACGGCGGATGCAGGCTCATGTCCTGTCTGCGCCAGTGCCAACCCAGCCCTGCTAACATGCTAACAGACCCAGCCCAGCGTCCTGCTAACACACCTGGGAAAGCAGCCGAGGACTGACAACTACAAGGTAACACACATGGTCTACTATTCTGAAGTCCAACAGAGCCTTCTATGGGAGGGATTTTTACCTTGTTTTTTAAATTTATTTTTATTTTCTTGAAAAGCAGAGACAGAGAAAGAGAAACAGAGAAATCTTTCATCTGTTAGTTTACCCAACAACAACCAAGGCTCAGGCCAGGCTGAAACTGGGCGGTCACAATGCAACCCAAACCTCCCCATGAGTGACAGGGACCCAACCACTTGGGGTATCAGTACCGCCTTCCAGGGCGCACAACAGCAGGATGCTGGAATCAGAACTGGGGACTCAAACCCAGTCACAACCGGGATGTGGACCAAAAACCTGCCCCTTAATGATTAATGAATATTTATTTTTTTAAGATTTTTTTTTTTATTTTACTTGAAAGTCAGAGTTACAGAGAGGGGGAGAGGGGAAGATAGAGAGTGGTCTTTCACCCACTGGTTCACTCCCCAAACAGCCACAATGACCAGAGCTGAGCTGGTGCGAAGCCAGGAGTCAGAAGCTTCTTCTGGGTCTCCCACGTGGGTGCAAGGTCCCAAAGCTTTGGGCTATCCTCTGCTGCCCTCCTAGGCCACAAGCAGGGAGCTGGGTTGCAGGTGGGGCAGCCAGGATTCAAATTGGTACTCATAAAGGATGTGGGCACCGAAGCAGAGGATTAGCTTGCTATGCTACCATCTTACCTTTCATCTGCTTTAATTTCATGAATTCTTTTTTAAAAGAACTGATTCTTTTCTTGTTTATTTTTGTTCTGGAAAGTTGGAAATACCAAGAGGAGGAGAGACAGACAGGAAGATCTTCCATCCATTGATTAACTCCCCAAGAGGCAGCAACAGCCAGAGCTGAGACGATCTGAAGCCAGGAGCCTCTTCCAGGTCTGACACACGGGTGGCAGGGCCATCCTCTACTGCTTTCCCAGGCCACAAGCAGGGAGCTGCCTGGGAAGCAGAGCTGCCAGGATTAGAACTGGTACTCATTTGGAATCCCAGTGCATGCAGGGCAAGGACCTTAGCCATTAGGCTATCACGCCAGGCCCTAATTTCATGAATTTAAAGACACTATGAGACTAATGGCCCGTGTGGTTCAGGGCAAGTCCAGACACTCCCTGTTGGAACCCAGCTTGTCCTCCTTCCTTCCTAGAGTGACAGAGCTCTCTGTTGGACTGGCTCATTCACCAACCTTCCTTAACTTCCCTATCTGACAGATGTAAGGTGGAAACAAGACAGAAATGTAGTAGGCATGGTAGCGCAGAACCTAATCCTCCCCCGTGTGGCACTGGCATTGGAATAGGCCATGTCCCAGCTGCTCCACTTCCCATCCAGCTCCCTACTTGTGGCCTGGGAAAGCAGTGAAGGATGGCCCATAGCCTTGGGACCCTGTACCCACAAGGGAGACCCAGAGGAGGCTCCTGGCTCGTGGCTTTGGGTCGGCTCAGCTCCAGCTGTTGTACTGGGATCTCACATGCAGGCCGGTCCATCTCCCAGCTGCTCTATTTCCCATACAGCTCCCTGCTTGTGGCCTGGGAAACTAGTGGCAGATGGCCCAAGCCTTGGGACCCTGCATTCGCTTTGGAAGCCTGGAAGAAGCTTCTGGCTCCTGGCTTTGGAATGGATCAGCTCAGCTCCGGGCATTGTGACCACTTGGGGAGCAAATCAGTGGACAGAAGATCTTTCTCTCTGTACCTCCTTCTCTCTGTAAATATGCCTTTCTAAGAAAAATAAATAAATCTACAAGGAAGGAGAGAAGGAAAGAAAGGAAGGAAGGAAGGTAAGAAGGTAGCTAGGTAGGTATGTAGAAATGAAGGAAGAAAGGGAGGGAGGGAAAAACAGACAGTGGCAGACAGAATAGCATCCGCCAGAGCTGGAAGGGGTGCAGAATGGCACATTCTTTGGAAAGATCAAATTCTGCAGACAGATGCTGGCGGTGGCTACACAGCAATGAGGAAGCACATGGCACCACGGAACCCTCAACACTGGTAAAAGCAGCACGTGTTGTGGTGCATATTATACCACAATTCTATGATGCAAGGACAACCTCCCAAGACAAAGAATTCCGTGGCCCTAAGTGACAGCAGTGGCAAGGCTGAGAAGCCTGCTCTGCGTTGCCATGGGAGCTGAACACAGTGCCCCGGATCCAGCATCAGGCACCGGAGGGCTGGGCCAGCACAGGATAACTGCAGCTCAGACACAGGTCCCGACACGCCAGCGACCTCCGGCAGATTCCTCGGCTGCTACTTCTCCCGGCCGGGCTCATGCACAGGTTAGCAGAAGCCGGCTCAAGAGTGAGGGTGTGGCAAAAGTTGCCTCTCTGGAATAAAAGCACAAAGGGACCAGCAACTGACAGGGACAATGGCTGGGAGGTGAGCGGGCTCCTCCGGGAGGCCAAACTTTGCTTGTGGGTTCCTTTCCAGAAGCTGGGATTAGCCAAGCCCCATCAGCAGGGCATGACTGAATGAGGTCAGGCAGCCCTTCCAGGCACTGGCTGTGGCCCAGCCAAACACTGATTCCCACAGCAACAGAGACAAGACACTGAAGGAGTGCTGGAGTGGCGAGGGGCAGACTGTCGAGCAAGTCCCATGTTCGAGGCAGATGCTCCATATGGTTCAACACTGTGCTGAAAACTCCCTTAGCGAGTGAACACACAGGTTTTCAAGGGGTCCAAAGCGGTGCTTCCTCCAGGTCTGGTTTAATTCAAATAGCACCGAGTAAGCTGTTGGCTTGTCCTGAATCCGTGCAATACATCCCACATGTGTATTTACAGCATCTCTCACTAGGAAAGGCATACAGAAACCAAGCGAGCGGAGGGGTCAGCCGAGATACAAGCCCCGTCGCATCGAGCAGGGCACGGATACTTGCAGACAGTCAACTGAACTAGCGTTCTTCCTGCCAGTCCCTTGGCACCTGAAGCACACAGCTTAAATGAGCAGAAGCACACCAGACAAGCCACTGTGTATCCACTGAGCACTTAGCCTGTATCCGAAGCCTTGGGTGACCTAGCGTGGTCTATGAGCCGCCAGAGAGAGCCTAGCCCAGAACCATTCATTCAGCTGCAGTGCCAGGAGGGCCCCTGGCACCCCTCCCTGTGCCCACTGCTCGGGCTTCCTTCAGAACCACGCCACAAGACACAGGTGGGTCCACACACCTCCCTGGTGAAGACCGATAAAGCTCCATGAGGCAAACACCAAGATCTGACCGCATGCCAGTGCAGCCCAGTGCCCTGTCTTCGAGGACATCACGCAGTACCTGTTGAGTGGATTTCAAAGTGTGTTTAGCTATCAAGATGCCCGAGTCCTTCCTCAGCTCCATGTTCTAGAATTATCTGTATGGCTCCATCTTCCCCAAAGGGAACTGAGTGCCCATTTACAAAACCCACAAATTTACCTTTCAAAAAAGAAATAAAACCGTTTTAACGGAACCCACAAATGAAATGTTGGCAGCACCCAAAGGACCTTAGGTCATTTATGGCATCAGAGCACTGACTCCAACCCACACCCAACAGGCCACTGTAGTCACGGCAACCCTGCCACTCACGGCATAAGGCAACAGGCCTTATTGCATTCCACAGCTTTACTTGCCACGTCCCTGGAGTGGCCACAGGCCAAGAAGCTGGACACTGCCAGACAGCAAACAGGCTGTCCACGTGCTGGACAGAGGTGTCCACTGTCACACCCACCTGTGCTGCTGTGTCCTTCCTCCTGGACCCCAGGACCCTGCCACATCCTGACAGCAGGTAGACAAGACCTCCCACTGCACCCAGCTACGCAGTGGCCAAACTCACCGAGAACAGAGAGGCCCAAGTCGTCTGGCTGACCGGAACGGCTCCCACCTAGCCCTGACCCATTCAACCACAGAAGGGCTGGCCTCCCTCCCTCCTCCGGCCAGAAGCTAGGGGACCACTTTTGTGTTTATCTGCTGCCCATGAGAGAAGATCCATAAAGTTCTGAGCAGTAACCACGGGTCCCTGGGGGGCCATCTTCCTGTTGTTTCTCTCCAAGGACAGGCCTTCTTTGCCTAAGAAGTCCCCTGGACGTGAGACCTAGCACCAGCTGACGCCCGGAAAAACTGGTGATGTGGTTTGCTTTTAAATGATCCCTGGCAGTGACATTATTTCTGTTCTCTTTCCCAGAGACATGCCTAATAGGAACTACAACCCCGGTACAAAAGCCACCAAGAGTGGCCAGGGGGATTGCGGACCCAAAGGAGAGACATGCAGAGTGCAGCGGAGCAGAGGCCGGTGGAACCACCTGCCGTGGTGGGTGGAAAGGGGCGTAAAGCGCAGAGAGGGCAGACCCATCTCGAAGGGGGACTCCTGTCCGACCTGGACGGAGCCGCTCACCTCTCGCGCCGAGCGGAGCTGCTGGCGCAGCGCGTCCTTGCAGCCATAGGGGCCACGCTCGCCCGCGCCGCGGGGCTGGAAGTGCGCCTCGACGCGCGTGGCGCCGCGGTAGGCACCCTGGTAGAAGGCGGGCCAGCCGAGCTCCAGCAGCGGCGGCTCCAGGTCCGACTGCTCGGGGAAATAGGTGCCCGACGAGCAGTCGTGCGACGAGCTGAACGAGTCCTCCACCGCCGCGGTGCCCGCCGCGCCCTCCTCGCCGGGCCGCTCGGCGGCGCGCAGGATGGCGCGCACCTCGTCGGGGTTCAGGAAGCGGCCCAGGCGCTCGCGTCGCAGGAAGGCCGAGAAGGCGTCGGGGCCGCCCGTCACCAGCTCCTCCAGCGCCAGGCGCCGCGCCTCGCTGAAGAGCTCGGCGGGGTTGGGCGGCCCGCACGGCGACAGGCAGGCGGCGGGCAGCTCGTCCATCACCTCGGGCCGCTCAGCCATGGATGCGTTCCCACCGGACCACGCACGGGCAGAAGCCCTGGCTGCGGGCCCGCTTTATAGGCACCTTTGAATCAAACCGGCCCGCGCCATTGGCCGCGCCGCCCCGCCTCGGCTCTCTCACTGGCTGAATTACTCCAATGGCAGGGCAGGGCGGAGCTAAGGGTCCTGGGCGGTGAGTCCAGGAGGGCGGCCAGCCGGGAGTGGCCGCACACCCAGGGTGGCGGCGGCGCGCAGGGCAGGGACCCCTCGGAGGTCCGAGAGCCCGGCCCTCGGCCGTACCCAGCGCGCCTCCTGGCGGCCGCCCCGGAGCACTCAGAGCCAGGCTGGAGGCTGGACACGCGCCACAGAGCGCCTGTTGGAGCTGAAATGTCCCTTGCACTTCATCCTTCACTGAACTGTTTAGCAACAAAGACTGGTCCATGGCTTTCTCTTACACCATCGCGTTTTTTCCCCCAGCAGAGCTCCAACTCTGTGTCAACTGATTTTCTCTTTCGTTTTTCCCACCTGCACCCCAACAGCCATACAAAGGCTGGAGAACCAGGATGCCTCCCATACACCATTTCCAGCAGGCTCCGGGCATTGCCTGGTCAGAAGAGCGAATCTTCACACTCCCATCACGCCCCCCTCCCTGGATCCTCTCTGCATGCCTTCTGGCCTTCTCTCAGCTCCTTGGATGGACCGTGCCTGGGTCTTCCCATCTCCAGCCCAGCAAACAAGCAAGCAAGCAAGCAAGCAAACACGGCTCTCCCAGGCTGTCCATATGCCCTCCTGCTGTTCCTATCAGCATACATCATGATCTTTCATGCGTCGCTGCTCTGGCATCCTCCATCAGGCAGGCTTACAAGGGAGTGCCCGTTCCAACCTCTTCTCAGACGCCAACAGACGGACATCCATGTGGGACAGAGACAAGAGCCATGGTTGGGGCTGTGTCGCCATGGACCTTGTCTCTGCCTGCACAGAGGCCAACGATGAGAACAAACCAGGCCTCCCCTGCAGTGTGGTTGTAGTAAGGGGGTAGAGGACAGGGAGCCCTCACTGTGAGCTGCACAAAGGGCAAGGGCAAAGGGAGGGCCAGGATAGGTTAGAGACATGACTATTGGGGGAGAGGTGGATGAACTGCTGCTATGGGGCCTCATGCTCATTGCCAATGAACGCCTAATCCCATGACAACCATTCCCAACACCCATCTTCTCCTGAGCTCATCGGTCTTCATTGCCACCTTCCATTCTAGAAAGATATCCCCTGCCCTTCTGAGGCCCCCAGAGCCCACAGCTGCAGGTGCCTCCTGGGAGAGCGCTCTAGGGGGGAGGGGCGGGACAGGGACCCTCCCTTCCCATCCCTGATTCCAGCACATCAGTGCAGGTCAATGAGCTCACGGCAATAACAAATCACACTGGCAGGTGTTATTAAAAGGAATTTAATAATCTTAATTAAAAACTCTTTAACAGTGAATTCCAGTGCAGGCCTTGGCAGCCGGAAGCAACTGTGGGGTCACCTGCCCCTTCGGTGTGTGGCCGGGTTGCGGTCTGGGATGTAAGGTCCCCCCATCCCCCAGCTGCCACCTGGGAGTTGCTTTAATATAATACCAAAGGTCCACAAGGGTTTCTTTTAAAAAAAAAAAAAAGTTTTAAATATATTAGACTCTCTTTGATTGCCATTTTTTACACAAAGCTGCTGATACAGTATACAGAGTTGTAATTTTTTTTCCACATAAAATATTTTTTTTTTTTTCTGAAGTGTTCTCTGTACATCAGTGGCTTCTGGTCTGGTGAGTTATTGCGGAGGGCTGGGGTCTGCAGACTCTTCCTGGGTGTGCAGAGCCAGGCCCCGCACAGTGGCACTTGCGACGACCGTGGACAAGAAGCAGGCCCTCTGGCCAACGAGACTCCTGGCAAGGAGAGGGGCTGTGGCTTCTGGTAGAGGAGGGTCACTTCTGTACTGTCCACCGGCCACATGACCTTCCATTCTTATGTGCCCTGGGGCAAAGAGGCTAGCCCCAGGCTACAAACAGTAAGAGCTAAAAATACAGTCCTCCTTGGGGATATAGAAAGAGTGCCCTTCTGGAAGGTTCCCTGGTACACTGCTTGCTGCTCACGGAGAGCATGTGAGAGAGTGAGTTCAGGGTGGCAAGGTACCTGCTGCCAAGAACTAAGGTGGCCTCAGGTCAGCACGCAGTGGTGGGTGGGGACAGGGACTATGCCCTTGAGAGCTTTTCTAAGCCCCTAAAACTGACTAGTACTGTCAAGAGCCACTGTTTGGCAATTGTTTAGAGCAGATGGTGAGTGAGGGCAAGGGCCAGAGCTTGCAATGGGTCATGGGCACCTGCTTTACTGGGGTCTTTGATGGCCCCCTTTTGGCTTCTCCCAGCTCCTTAGCCTGCACCTGCCAGGGAGAGGGTAAGAGCCACGAGAGGCTTAGGATCAAAGGAGAAGCTGCCTTTCCTCCCAGTATCCACTGGTGGGGTCAGGGAGACAAGCAAAAAACAAGGACTTCAAGAACCCAAAAATACACTTGGCAGCAAAACTGCAGACTTCTGGTTCTTCTAGAAGAATCGACTATTTTATACAGAGAGTGTGCCAGAAAGGCAGCTACCCCAGAAGTGCTAGAAAGATTAGGGGTGGAGTCTGCCTGTAACCCAGGACTCAGCTTTTGCACTCGTGGCAAACGCTTACCCTTGTGACTGTGATGGCTTTTGGCCAGTTCAAGGGACTCACGCTCTGATTCTAGGAGCTGAGAAGAACAAGGATGCTGCACCGGGGAGCAATCACTCTGCTTACCCATAGTCCGTGGAGGCTGGAAACTGGAGAGGGCAGTTTCCCTTCTCTCTGCAGCAGCTGACCCTGTCTGGGATGTTGCAGGTGACCATCACTGCTCCCGGCTCCTTCTTCAAGGTTTCACCCACCGGGCATGGTCTGTCCCTGATGCCTCTGCCTGAGGTCGCCTCCAGCCCAGCAGGAGGAGAGGCATTGGCCCCAGAGGCAGAAAGAAGGCAGGGAAGGGGGTAATGGTTTGGGAAGCTCAAGGAAGGCAGCAGGTGCCCACAGTCTCTGCCCTTCTCCCCACCCCATAAACACACGGCAGCAAAACGATGACACACCTGTAGCTTTCCTTGGGTGCTCCCCACCCTGGAGCTCAAGTCAGCTACTTGAGAGAGACTTCGGTGTTGGTCTGTGAGCTAAGCACGGTTTTGGATCAGCCCAGCTACAGACTGAGAATGATGCAGAACCTGCCCCAGACCCCAGGTCCTAGGAGGCCTCGTGGATACCAGTCTCCACTCTCCTGATCCATTCTTCCACCCTGCACTACACCTGTCCTGCTGGGGTAGGGGATGGGGAATGGGAAGGGACTCTGGCCTGATGCTGTGAGGCCCTCCCTATATGCAGCAGCCATCACTTCCATTAGCCCACTGCTCTCAGGCCCAGATCCCTCTCTGGCTCCAGGGGCCACGGGAACCACAGCAGACTGACAGCAGCCCCTGTGGCTAGGGCTGCGGCCCAATGGGTGCCTGTTCAGCCCCAGCCCCTTGGCCTGGGTGCCCCTCAGGGAGAATTTCTCCCAGGTTCAGAGGGAAGTGGGTTCCAGAGGACCCAGACCAGCTCCCCTAATTAGAATTTGGACCCAGGTGGCCCTTCAGAGCATTAAGGAGGTAGTTTTAGGACAAATAGAAGGCGCACAGAGCAGGGATCAAACCCATAGCATGTTAGTTCCACCGAAAGGTTTTGCCTGGACCTGTGGACAGCGCCAGAGTCATAAGCAACAATTTCGAAGGGGCTCACATGAGAATGCAGTGGTGTATGGGCAGCCTGTCCCATGTGGGGGAAGACCAAGGCTGTGGCACACAGAGCTGGGTGAGACCCCACACCATCCTTGCCACAGTTGTCCTGAAGTTGGTACAGGATGTTGGCCATAGGCACCCAGGATATAGCTGACAGGAGCAACAGCTGGGAGCCCCTGGGCCAGGTGGAAATTCACAAGAGCCAAATAGTCAACTAGTCTCACTGAACATTCCAGAAAAGGCAAATCTGGGCTGGGATCCTGGGCACTCCCTGTACACACATGGATGTTGAGTGTGGTTGGAGGGAGATGGGCGCAGATGGCCCCAGACTGCTGGATGGTGGCTCAGTGTGAGGATGGCTGGCTGGCTGGCTGGTGGGCCTGGGACAGAATGAAGTAATCTGAACAGTCACAAAGATGGGCCAGAGGGGATTTCAGAGATTAACTCACACACACTTCCCCTGGCTCCCTGGGAATAAATGGCTCCCTTAGGTTCTGTTTCCAACACCAGCCAGGCAAACCCACAGAGGAGGTGGCCCAGCCAGCTGCCTCCCACCTGAGTTTACAGCCTAGACCAGTTGTCTATACCAAAAGCAGGAGGGGAAATGTTGACTTTGCACACTTCTGCACTGCCCCAATCCCTCCACCCAAGGGTATACACAATAGGAGTTTAGTCCAGTGAGTGGAACTGCCTGGTTTGCCACCCAGCCCCTAGGGTAGTCCCACAGCTCCCAGCTTTGGCACAGGTGGGAGGGTAGCTGTGTGGAGCAGGCCTGTATCCATCTCACCTGACCCTGACCTGAGGATGCCAGGCTCCCCCTGCCAGGACATCCTCCCCCTGCCAGGTGTGGATGGTGTCAGTCCCTGGCATGACTCAGTTATACCCTGGGACTCAGCTCTATGGATAGGCCCCTTGCCACTCAGACAGCAGTCATGGGACATGAAGCCTTCAGCACAATCCTTATGAGAACAGCCCACAACTGCTCACTCAGCTCCACCTGCTTCCCGTGAGTCCCAGTGAGTCATCTTGCACGTGTGTGCGTGTGTGTGTGTGTGTGTGTGTGTGTGTGTGCGTGCGCACAGGTGTGAAAGACAGCACTGGTCCCGAGAAGCCTTCACCAAGACCAGAGCTGGATCCCAAGCCTGCCGTCCCCAAACGGGCCAGCAGGGAGGGTCGGCAGGCCACTGTGTTTCAGAGGGCAGACAACGTAGCAGGAAGCAGAATCATAGGGAGTAGGGGTGCTATGGGCAGCTGGAGGAAGGGTGCAGGTCAGCATTACCCTGGAAGGCAGAGCCCACGTCCCCCCACACCAGCCGCCTCCCCATGCTTCCCCAGCCAGGGCAGTTGGGATGGCCTGGATCTGGAGACTGCCCCCTCCCCCAGGCAACTCTCTCCTCTGTGCACAGAGATGAGGGTTTAGGAGATGCGGCAGCAGCCGTGGACCTTCTCCTCCATCTCTTCCATGGGGGCCTTGAACTTCAGGAGAGGCGGGTCTCCGCTGGTGACCGTGTAATACACCGAGGTCCCGTTGCTGCTGTATGGTGAAGTTCTGCCTCCGATCAATGGGGCCTTGCCTTCATTGCTGCTCTCCCCACCCCGGCCCATGCTGCTGCCCAGGTGCGTGCTCAGGAACGGGTGGCTGAGGAGCTTGGCTGCGGCCCGCTGCCGCTTCAGCTCCAGGAGCGTCTGGGGGCTCTGCTCCTTGTAGCCACCCCAGGGCGGTGTGGCGTCGGCCAGGGCAGGGTTGCTATAGGCCATGCTGTAGTCAGGCACCTCGTGCACCTTCCACACGTCCCCATTGGACAGCGCGTACTGGTAGGCGCTGACCGGGGCCCGGAGGCCATTCTCCACAGGCCCGTCCAGTTCACCCCGGGAGATCTTGGTGGAAAATTCAGAGAGTAGCACGGGCTTCTCCAGCCGGGGGTTCTGAGGGGAAAAACACAACGTCAGCGCTGGCTAGAAGAGCCACCTGCCCTCCAGCCGACATCCCTACCTAGATAACAGGGTCTCTGTTTTCCTTTGGGGGACCACCCACCCAGGTGTTCTGGCAGGGCTGACCACGTCTTAAACTTTCACATGCATATGAGCCACTTGTGAACATTAGCCTGCTGTGCCACCACGCTGGTCCCCACTCGTTACTTTTAAAGAGAAAACCATTTTATACAATGCCTGGGTCCCTAGCCCACAGATTCTGACTTGAATATTCTGAACCACTGCCAGCACATCAAGATTCAAAAGGCACAAAACAGGGAGGGAGCTTGGTGCAGTGCACCATGCTGCTTGGGACACCCACACTTCCTTTGCTGGAGGGCCTGGGTCAGAGTCGGAGTGCCACTTCTGATTCCACCTTCCTGCTGATGCACCCATTCACAGGGTAGGCTTGGAATGAGTTCTCGGTTCCTGGCTGCCACCTGGCCCAGTCTGGGCTGTCGTTGGCATGTGGGGAATGAACTAACAGAGGGAAGATTTCCCTATCTCTCCGATAAAATGAAGATACACGAAACACAAACAGAAGCCCATATCCCTAGGTGGTTTACTGTCTAGTTTAGTTTTACTTGTGAGTCACAGGTGGACTGTCTTATCGCTGCTGAGACTGCTATCTGAGAGTCAGCTCTCCAAAAGCAAAAACAAAGGCCAGCCCTGGGGGCTGACAAGTAGGAACCTGATCAGGGCTCAGACAGAGGCTACATTCCCTTGGAAAAGTGGTGCTGGGGGGCTGGAGGGGACAGGGAAGCGTCCTGGCACAATAGCCTAATCCTTCACCTGCGGTGCCGGCATCCCATATGGGTGCTGGTTCATGTCCCGGCTGTTCCACTTTCCATCCATTTCCCTGCTTTTGGCCTGGGAAAGCAGTGAAGGATGGGTCAAAGCTTTGGAACCCTGAATCCACTTGGGAGACCCAGAAAAAGCTCCTGGCTTCCAGTTTCAGCTCAGCTCAGCTCAGCTCAGCTCTGGCCATTGTAGCCATTCTCTCTATCTCTCCTCATGTAACTCTACCGTTCAAATAAAATAAAATAAATCCTTTTTTAAAAGGTGGTTCACCATCCTCCTATGCCTCTGAATGACAGGGAGGGCTGGTTATACGCACGTGCCTGGGCCCTAGCCGTGGGCTCCCGATTCTATAAGGCTAGTGTGAAGCCTGAACCTGCTCTTCTCTAAGAGGCTGCTGGCCCAGCGGCTCCACAAACAGGCTGCTACCCTTGCAGGGACAGGAAGGGAGCACACAGGAGCTCCGCAGCTGGGCCTGGCCGGGCTCCCCCTGGGACCAGGGCACGGATCTAGCTGTGGTCCTGGATCTGGCCATGGCCCCGGGGCTGGACCACAAGGTCTCTGACCTGGATGTGCTACAGCTGTGCCCTCTATCTTCTCCAGGCTTGCAAAAGTCAAAGAAACATTTGTCTCACTAAATCCCAAACAAACCACAGCCTCTATGAAGAATTCACAGCAGCAAAACAGGCCTAACTTTCCAGCAGCCATACGCCTCTACCCTGCCCCCTGCAGGACGCATGATTCATGACACTGCACACCCAGTACTGGGAGACCTGAATACACACAGGGGCAAGGCAAACATGGAGGAGAATCTCAGTCTCCCACAAAGCCATAGGGAGAATATAAGCCACCCAGCAGAAAGGAGGAAGGAAAAGATGCTTCACAGAAGAGGATACGCTGATGGCCAATGAGCATGTGGAAATGCGCACTTAAAGCGTGGGCTGTGGGGCCAGCGTAGTAATGTAGTAGACTAATCCCAACCAGCGGTGTAGTCAGCCTGCATGGATGCCGGTTCTAGTCCTGGCTGCTGCACTTCTGATCCATTTCCCTGCTAATGGCTTGGGAAAGCACAAGAGGATGGCCCAAGGCCCTGGGCTCCTGCACCCACATGGGCGACCCGGAAGACACTCCTGATCCTGGCTTGGGACTGGCTGAACCCTGGCTGTGGCAGCTCTATGGGGAGTACACCAACAGATACAAGATCTCCCCTTTCTCACTCTCTGTCTCTCTCTCTGTAATTCTTTCAAGCAAAATAAATAAGTATTAAAAAAAGAAACAGTGGGTTGCCTAGCTACTCCACCAGGGTGGCTCAAGTCAGCAGGACTAACTGTAGCAAGAGTTGGTGAGAAGCTCTCATTGCCCACAGGAGAGCAGACCAGTCCATCCACCTTTGAACACTGCTCCGCTGGGGTCTCTGTCTGGTTCAGCAGTTAACTTGCCACTTGGGATGTCTATCTTTGAGTCCCAGCTCTTCCACCTGCAATCTAGCTTCCTGGTAATGAACATCCTGGCAGACAGCAGGCGATAGCTTAAGTACTTGAGTCCTTGCCATGCATGAGGAAGACACGGTTAGAGCTCCAGACTTCTGGCTTTGATCTGACCCACCTGTTTAAGGCATCTGGGGAATGAACCAGTGGATGGAAGCTCTCTCTCTCTCTCTCTCTCTCAACATTTCAAATAAAATGAAAAATCTAAGTCTTTTTTTTTTTTAATCTAAAAAAGGACACTGCTTGGCAGTATCTACTAAAACTAAACATGGCTACCCCATGACTCACACTTCCTGGGGATATACCAGCAGAAAATCGTGCTTTTGGCCACCAAAAGACATTCACAAGAATGTTTACAGCAGCTGTATTTATAGCAGCCCCAAACAGGAAACAACCCACTGCCCACCAGCCAGAAAATGGATTTGTTAACTTCAATACAGTCAACCTCAATAGTTGTAAGGGACTGGTTCTTGGAGCACATGCTAAAATTCACGGGTGCTCAAGTTTCTCTTTGTTAAAATTTATATTTATTTATTTATTTGAAAGGCAGTTTGAGAGACAGAGAGAGTGTGTGATTGATCTTCTGTCCTCTGGTTCACTCCTCAAATGCCTGCAACAGCCAGAGCCAGGACAGGTCAAATTCAGTAGCCTAGGACTCAATCTAGGTCCCTTACACAGGTGGCAAGTACCCAAATATTTTACCTACCACTGTTTCTTCCCAGGATGAGGATTAGCAAGAAGCTGGTTTAGAAGTGGAACAGGGACTCAAACCCAGGGACATGATACAGGGTGTGGGCATTCCAGATAGCACCTCAATTACTGTGGTGAAATGTCTTCCCTTTGTCTCTGACAAAATGGCATAATATCATTTGCCTTTAACCTCTGCACATCCTCTCACAGAGTTCAATTCATCTTCAGATTATTTACAATGCCAAGTACAAGGCAGATTTAATGGAAATAACTGGTAGACCGCATTGCTTAGGGAATGGTAACAAAAAGAAGTCTATATGAATGTTTAGTATGGACATGACTTTTTTTCCCCCAAATACGTTGAATGTGCAGTTAGTTGAATCTGCAGGTACAGAATCTGTCAACACAGAGGGAGCATCAGCTGTGTAACAACAGCAACATTCAATGAGAAAGAATGAACCACCACTCCAAGCCTCAACACAGATGAACTCAGAGAGGCAAGAAACTGAACACAAAAGCTGATATTTTTCTTGGGAGCTGCTTATATGTATATGCAACACAGAAAGTGTGTGCTCAAAGTCACACCTCTTTGGGGTGAAGGGAAGGGACCACCAGGGAGAGGGAATGTGGGAGCTGTGGAGAACGGTGCAATTGCTCATCTCCTTCACCTGCCCATCATCACATGGGGTCCAGGTGCTTATGGGCACGGCCCATGCCCAGCTACTACCCTCGAAGGGTCTCAGATGAAGAGGCAGGATTAGGCTGGGCTCCACACTCCTCCAAAGGTGGCAACTGACACTGGGATGGAGTGGGAGTTACTCACAGGGTCCTTATTCTCCTGGTCCGTCCTGGTCTCCCTGACGTCCCCATTGTAGGTCAAGGTCCGCTGGTCCTCAGCCGCACTCCGCTGTTGCCAGAGAATAGCTTCTCCCTCATACTCCTTCCGGTACAGGTTGGTCCTGTCCGACAGGCTGGCTCGCCGCACCACCTTCCTGAGGAGTCAGAGGGAATGCTGGGAGACTGCAACCAGGCACCCCGGCAGGAGCCTGAGGGACAGAGGGCCCTGGAGACTCTCTGCCTCGGACTCACCCTCGGCTGCCCGCGCTGGACGTCCTCCGGCTCAGGGATGACTTGTGCCTCAGCTGCGACTTCATGATCACATCATGCTTGTGTTTGAGCTCCAGCAGCAGGACCTTGAACTCCTCCTCCTCACACAGGTCTGAAGGGGCAGACGAGGCCACAGTGGGGGGCAGGGCAGGGGCCTGTGGCCCAGGAGGGTGCTCTGGACTAAATGAGCTGCCTCCCTGAACCACTGAAAACTTCATTCATCTTAAGGCATGCAGGGAGGGACAAAAACAATGCCTATCTTGTTTCCTGGGCTGCAATGCAATCCTTAGAGGATGAGATAGGAAACCCAGCTCCCGAGGACCCCAGCTATGGCCGAGGGATTCATAGTCATCAGCTCCCTATTGATTTGAGAGGTATCAAGAGAAAGAAACATGTACCCCAGGCAGCCCAAGGAAGAATCCCACATAGCCATGCCCACTCAATCTGTTTCTTTCTCCTTCTTTTCACCTCCTTATTGACCTGGCCATCTATTGGTAGAATCACCATCTACTTGCCTGACCCTCCATCATCCATTCACCATTCATCTACCATCCACACATCATCACATACATCCAACCACCTGACCATTCTAACCATCACCCATTCATTAATCTGTTAACCATTAGTGTCCATCTGCATACCAGTCTACCACTCCATCCAACCATACATTAAATTCATTTATCATTCCACTCATCAAAAAACTGATGAGTGTCTGTGTGGGCCAGGTGTGTGGTACTGGGCTGACTTACCTATTGGCATCTCATCCATGGATGTCCTGGCACTGAGACTAGCCCCATGGGACACCAACAGCTCTGCCATCTGCATCTGAAACACAGGAAAATGACCACATCCTCCCTGCCCAGGGCTTAGTAAGCCTAGGAGGGGGAAAGTCCAAGACATCTCAGAATGGTGACCCATAGAATAATGGTGAGGCAAAGTTGATTTCTGGGAAAATCCTTGAAGCCTGGAGCAGCGGACACCTGAGAGAGGACAATGGGCTGGGTGACTGACCCAGAATTCCCAGGCCATGCTAAAGATAGGGAGAAGCAAGAGTTGGCTATAACTCTGGAGCCACTGAGTGTCGGTGAAGAACTGCACAAAGCACAATCATTTGGGAAACAAATAGAGAAACCACTCAAAGCAGAAATGTTGGGAACTTTCTAACTTGGCAAATCTGATTACCATGCCACCATCTGCCTAATGCTTTTGCAAAAATCCCTACAGAACTGACTGTGAGCCCAAAGGACTTGGTGATGGCAGATGATCCCGTGGGTGGGAAGTACCTGTCCCCAGAAGGCAGCTGCGTGCAGGGGCTCCCAGCCATCCCAGTCCTTGACGTCCACGCGCACACCGTGGTCCAAGAGGAGCTCAGCTGCCCTCAGGTATCCGTTGGCGCCAGCTATGTGCAGCTGGAAGACAGAAGGGGCACTCCCTTGGGGACCGGCCCCACCTTTGGAGGCGGGAATTCCACACCCTACCCATGTTCCAGAGCATCATGGGGACTGGCAGAATGGGGCACAATGAGGTAAAAGATATCAGCCACAAGCAGAGGGTCATAAAGGATCTAGAAATGAAAGCAGACAGTCGAACTCCTCTCCCCTGTGGCTGATTTCAGAGCCCATGTGGTTAAAGCCTCAGCAGTTCCTGAGTTCCTACTGTGTACTGAGCCCTCAAGTTAAGGGGTCTCAGAGAAGCCAAGGTTACAGCCCAGCAAAGAGCAAGAGAGGCCCGGTGATCACCTTGGCCATCACTCAGGCCTGAGGAACAGAGAGGGGAACTTGCTCACACTGAGCTCTCCTTGGTGGCCTTCAGAACTTGGAACCCTTTGGGCCTGTGACCAGCCTAGAGCCGCAGTCTTAGACAGCATCCAGGCACAGGGAAGGAAGATGCCGTGGCCGTGTCCCTGTCAGTTCAGAGGCTACAGAGGTTGAACCTCCCCAGTACTTGGCTGTAGTGTGCTATGAGAAAAGCCAGCAAGCTTCCCCTCTGGTCATTAACATGTGAACTACAAGGATGAGTGGAGTTAATCAAGCAGGTGCTTAAAACTTGGCTGGCTGGATGGATGGGCAGATAGACAGCTGGGCAGATGGACTGAGGGATGGATGGGTGGACCAATGGGTGGATAGGGAGAAGACTGAAGTCAGGGAGTCCAGAGGAGAGGCTATTGTTAGCAGTAACAGGGGGAGCTGATGAAGCAAGGCAATGGAGTGAAAGGAGAGACAGTAAGAGGAATGGACAGTGCAAAGCAAGACAGCATGGATGAGGGGCTGAAATGCATCATTGTTTTTTGAGGAGGGGCATTATCAGAGGAGAGGAAAATAATGAACTCCAAGTGAGCACTTGGAGCCTGCAGGTGAACAGTAGGGCCAAATCTCCCATACAAGGCCCCAGTGAAGGGCGGGCAGATTCTTGAAGAGGCTGAGCTAACCTTCTGTATCCCAGCAGGCAACTCTGGCCCCAGAGAGATGAGGGAAAGACCCAAAGCCTGACCTCCCCCAGAGCAGCCTGGTACATGCCCTCACCAGCGTGGCACCCTGGGCATCTATCCAGTCGAGGTCCTGGCCCGCAGCAATCATACAGTGGATGTCGGCGATCATCTGCTGCTCGGGGGCGGCCCGCATCTCGTTGATCTTCTCTTGGGTGATGCCTACCGAGGGAGATGGGATATGTTTAGCACCTTTAGGCCAGAGGGATGAAGGGAGAACAGATGGGGCAGACGCAGCTCCTCTTCCCCAGACTCTGTACATCAAGGGAGCTTAGAGACAAGCTCATAAACCAACATCCCCCAGGCCCAATGAACACAAACACCAGGGGGGGAGACAGAGCCATCCCTACCTGGCCCCCAGGACATCTGTGTTAATATCAGTTACTTTGGTTCATGAAAACTTCCACTGGGAAATCCCTATCACCCTAAGAATTTCCAAGCACTCCAGTGCCTGGCTCTGCTGCCTCAGTCTCCAGGTCCCAGCCCGGGTCACCACCCTAGCTGGCCTCCAATGGCCACATTCGGAATGCTTGCCCTCAGCTCATCCACATCTGTTTGAAACTCCAGACCCGGCGCTCAATACATTTCTTGTTGTTGTTGCAGAAATGGCTGTTAATGAATATATATCACTTTTGAATGGAGACTTGGGGAAACTGAGGCAGAGGCCCAGAATGACATTTTTCTGGCATCAATTTCTGGCTGAAACATTTAGCTGTTTCCAGTAGCTACCAATGGAATTTAAAGATAAAGTGACTTGCTCTATAAAAATAAGTTCATTCAAGTGCTCTTAAGTAGAATTCAGGAGAGGTCTATAAATGTGAGAGACATCTACAAGCAATACAGCACTGTAGCTTAGTGTGTAAAGCAGCCACCTGCAGTCTTGACACCCCACAACGGCTGCCAGTTTGAATCCCAGCTGCTCCACTTCTGCTCTAACTCCCTGCTAACGCACCAGGGAAAGCAGCAGAAGACAGCCCAAGTGCTCGTGCTTCTGTACCCACAAGGCAGACCCAGAAGAAGCTGCTGGCTTCAGGTCAACCCAGCTTTGGGATGGCTCAGCTCTGGCTGTTGTGTCCACTTGGAGGAGTGAAGCAGTGGATGGAAGATTTCTCTCTTCTCTTCTCCTCTCTCTCTCTCTCCCCCTCCCTCCCTCCATCTTTCTCTGTAACTCTGCCTTTCAAGAAAGGAAGGAGATGAAAGGAGGGAAGAAAAGAAAGAAGGAAGAAAGAGAGGGAGGAAGAACTGCATTTCTACCATTAGAACACAAGCAAAATCCACAGCATTCTTAGCAGACCTACAGCTTTGTCACTAACAGAAGCTACAGGAATTTTCATATTCTGGTGCCTTCTTGTTGAATGACTTAGGATATCTCCTGTATTTAAAAATGTTGTTGGTGGCTATGTTTTAATAGAATTTGCTTCCTTTACAAACCTATGTTTTCCTAAGTGCATCAAAACACATTATTCCAAGAAGAGACGTGTAGATTCATTTAGATTGTATAAAAATTGTTAGGAAACTCAGCAGGGAGCCGGGATTTGACACAGTCTTTGATACACTGCTTGGGACACCTGGATCCCATACCAGCGGGCCTAGGGGCCTGGTCCAGCTCTGCTCCTGAATTTGGCTTCCTGCTGGTATGCTCCCTGGGAGCCAGCAGGAGCTTGATGGCTCAGATATGTGGGTCCCTGCCACCCCCACTGGGAGACGTAGAGTTCCTACCTCCTGGCTTTAACCTGTCCCAGTCCTGGTCATTGCAGACATTTAAGAAATGAATCAGTGGGTAAGAGATTAGTACGAGCGTGTATTTCTCCTTTAATTCTTTCTCTCTACCTTTCAGATAAATAAGTACTAAAGGGAACTCTGTAGAATATGAGTAGGAAAGGCAAGCGGGGGATGTGGGCAAGAAGCATCAAGAACAAACCAGTGGCTATGGCCGTTATTTGCCACCATCAGGGTGCAAACAAGGCAGAGTCCAGGCAGGGCTGTGACATAAGATCTGGATTGAATCTGCAGCTAATTAAGCCAACTAGCTCCCTTTCTTCATGGGCACCTGGTGTGCAATGACTGCAAACAGCAGCCTCCTTGGTAGTATATGCAACCTGTTGCCTGAATGGCTTGGAGACAGCCCTTTACAGTGGACATTCATGCCTTTGACCTCGTGCTGTTCCTAATCCAGGCTGCGGACAGATATGCAGAGGGCTTTGGGAAAGCCCCAAGGTACAGTAGCTGGTCAAGTCCTCATGTCCACCTGCACCATGCTGCAGAACAAGGAACTTGTGGTTGAGACCCTACGCAGGGCCAAGCTCAAGTGTACCCTGGTTACCAGAAGATCCACACCTCAAAGAAGCAGAGATTCAGCAAGTTCAATGTGGATGAATTTGGAGAGGTGGTGTCTGAGAAGCAGCTCATCACTGACAGCTGTGGGATCGAATGCATGCCCAGCTGTGGTCTCTTGGACCAGTGGCAAGCCCTCTACTCACGAGGCCTCGGCTGTTCTGTGCTCCTTAGTCATCATCAAGAATAAACTGCTGTTTTTTTTAAAAAAAAGATCTGGATCGGAGACAACTTTCCCAAGAAGGGCTGGGATACAAGGCGGGCAGGTCTCTCTCTGCTCCATTTGTTTCCTCTCTGAACCTCACTTGTGAGCTGAGAACAGCCCACATCTTGTTTATCTGGGCCCCTGGCAGCCAGCATGGTGCCTGGCACAGAGCAGGCACCCGCCAATGTTCCTGACTTTTTCATTATTTTCCCAAATGGAAAAATGTATCTTTATGGTGAATGTTTGCCGAATCAAATGTTCACAGCTGACGAAGAGGAGATGGGGCCAGCTGAGGCCGCCCGCGTGTGTGGGCGCCGGGGATGAGAACGATCCCTCCCTTCTGCGTGTCCCCCAGGGTCCGTGTCTCGCTCATCACACGGAGGATGATAATAACCAGGACCTCCACCCCCACACACTGACTGAGCGCTGCCCCCGGGGCGGGCAGGCAGGCAGCTGCAGATGCCTTCACCCGCACTCACTCTGGCAACCGCAACACTGGGTGATGCCTTCCCTTACCCTGGTACGCCATGCAGGTCTCGATGACATCCAGGGTGGGCTCATCCTCACAGAGGTCATAGGGCATGTTCCCGTCGGAGTTGACAGCAAGTAGGTCGGCCCCACTGCAGAGAAAGGCACAGGGTGTGAGGGCCAGGCAGGTGCGGCTTGGCTTGCTCTGGCCCTTCCCCCAGAACTCCTCCTCTGCCCCCGAATGTACGCACCCAGCAAGGGGATACTCAGCTCTGCCCATCACACAGCAGCCAGAGTCCCAGGAGAGCCATCCCCAGAAGACCTCTCCCAGCATCCTCTCTGGTGAACCTGCTCCCTGGTAATGATCGTCAAAGTCACATTCATGTCAGGGACACCTGCTTACAGTGAAGCTCCATCCAAACTCCTCCTGTGCCATCTGCTTATTTAACCCTCAAGGGGGTGCTGTTGTCCTCTTTTCACTCGGGGGGCGAGGGGTGGGGGAGGATGCAAGCATGCAGAGTGTAGTCACACCTCTACTCACACAGCCTGGATGTAACCAGGTGGACACTCTTTGCACTTAGTGTTTCACACTTGGCCCATAGTCACAAATATCCTGGCTTATCTTGTACTTTCACCTCCAATTCCTGCTTGGCTTTCTGGCAGGAGCATGCCCCGAGAGTAGGTGGGGTCTAGCCATTGTCCTGGCAGGCCCCATAGACATTTAATGCAGCTTCCTGCAGCTCTGTGCATCCTGTCTCTGAGCTGTGGCTCGGCGGCAGTTACCTTCACCCTCTGCCTTAGGTGATGCGGATACAGGTCTGTGGCTAACCAGGCTGGCCACAGCTCATCATCAGGCCACAGCCGTATGGCAATCCTAGCAGAATCTCATCAGTGGCCCAGGGATAGGCTACCCTCCAGTCCTTGACCTCAGCAGCCTCCCCTGGAATAAGTGAATGCACCTCTCCATGCTGGAGCACCAGCTCGCATCTCCACACCCAAAAGCAGCTGCATGGACCCCTGCCACTCCACTCTGACCCCTGGCCAAAGGTCACCTGCTCCCTGCACTCAGATACTCTCTGGGACCTCCAGGAACCTCAGCCCACCGGTCTTGCTTTAGTCCTGAAATATTCCAATGTCCTGCCCATCTCCCCACTCCCATGTGTGGGCTGGTGGGCACATAACTGGTCCCGCTGAGGCACCCAGCGATTATTAGCTGGATTCACCTGAATACATCGGGAATTGTGAGCTGCCTTTTCTGGGTGCTCACTGAATTTGAGCAGACTTTAAAACAATTTCCTTCCCCCCCAGGAAGAGGAAGGTCCTCCCAGCACCACGGAGGGATATCACAGTGATATCCCTCAAATCAGGCTCTGTCCCTAGAGAAAAGCATGTATACAAGATTGGGGAGTAGAACTAAGGAAGAAGGCTCATTTGCTGTGTGCGTATGCTAAATATCAAGAGGAACAAAAATGGCAAGAGCACAGAAACAGGGTGTAAGAGATAAAGATGTGGGGAGGAAGCCAAGAGAAGACTGGTTCCAAAATATTACAAGAAGGGGAAAACTACAAACCAGTTTGTGCAAACAATGATGTAAAATACTCAACGAAATACAAAGGATGAGACAGTGTGTCCAAGTGGGATTTATCCCTGCGATGCAAGCGTGTTTCAGCAGACATAACCCAACCCCATACACTGCATTCTTAGAACAAAGGAGAAACACACACACAGTGATGTCAACTGATTCGGTAAACATGCTGGACAAAATCCAGCCCCATTTTTGTGATGCACACACACACACACAAACACAAAACCTCAACAATCACAAACAAGGATAAGAATCTATATTTGAGGAACCCATGCATAGCAAATGTCACAGTCAGTGCTGAGAGAAGCAAAGCTTTCCTGCTCTGATCAGGAGGGAGGCAGAGATGCCTATTTTGTGTCACTTTTATCTGACATAGTATCGGAGGTGCTAGTCAGAGGCGAGGGGAAAAAAAAAAAAGACTTCAAATTGGAAAAGAAGATGAAAAACAACATCACCTCTGTTCACAGAGGATACGATGTGATATATAGGAAACTCCGAAACCTCTACAGAAAAACTACAGGCCTGAGAAGCCAATTCAATCACACTGGATGATACAAAGTCAACAAGAAAAACAGCTGTATTCCTGCATATCCACCATGAACCATCTGCAAAGGAAACTAAGGCGATTCCATTCACAACTAATGCAAAAAAGAATGCAATGAGTAGAACTTGATTTCACCAAAGGGCTACAACCTGTACCACAAACACTGTGACTCATGTTTGAAAGAAGTAGCAGACAAACAAATGGAAATACATCTCAAGTTCATTAATTGCAAGACTTAATACTGTTACTACCAGCCCCAAGCAATCAACAGATATAATGCCATCCCTATCAAAATTGATTTTTTTAAAAGATTTATTTCTTTTATTGCAAAGTCAGATATACAGAAAGGGGAAGAGACAGAAAGGATGTTCCATCCAATAACTCGTTCCCCAAGGGACCGCAATGGCTGGTGCTGCGCTGATCTGAAGCCAGGAGCCAGGAATTTCCTCTGGGTCTCCCACATGGGTGCAGGGTTCCAAAGCTTTGCGCCATCCTCTACTGCTTTCCCAGGCCACAAGCAGGGAGCTGGATGGGAAGTGGGACCACCAGGATTAGAACCAGTGCCCATGTGGGACCCTGGCACGTGCAACAGAAGGATTTTAGCTGCTGGCCACACCGGGCCCCAAAATTGATTTTTTGCAAAACAGAAAAATTTATCCTAAAATTCACGTGCAGTTTCAAGGAACAACAATCCTGAAAAGGGGGTACAAAGCTGAAAGACTCACATCTTCTCATTTCGAAACTTATTACAAAGCTATAAAATAAAGCCAGCATGGCACTGGTGTAAAAATGGACATGTACCAACCAATCAGAAGAGCCCAGGAATAAAGCTTAAATGATTTCTGACAGGATGAAAAGACCACTCGATGGCAAAAAGACACTCATACCAACAACTAGGAAATGCTGAGAAAACTGAATATCTAACTCTACTCCTGAATAAAAGGAAGACTCCCAGTGAAACACCTACATCCACCTTGACTAGATGATGCTAGCTTTCATTGTCTATACCTACAATTCAATGATGGACTTAAATACGGAATGTTAAACACGTAACTATTCCTAAAGGACTGTATTACTGTAATAATATGGGGGCAAATGGTGAGAGAGGAAGAAAGGGGAGGGCCTACACCCACAGAAATGTCTCATGGAAAATAATTTTTAAAAACTTAATATCCACATGGCAAAGAATGAACTTGAACCCTGACCAAATTCCACATTCAAAATTCAAGTACAGGCAAATCCATGGCCTACATGTAAGGCTTACAACTACAAAATTATCAGAAAAAAATATCAGGCCAAGACCTCGTGACATTGGCTTTAGCAATAATATCTTAGTTATGACATCAAAGACTCAAGCAATAAAGTGAAAATAGACAAAGTGGACTTCATGAAAATTTTAAAATTGTTGCATCAAAAGACTGTCAACAGAGTGAAAAGACAGCTGCTAGAATAGAAAAAATACTCATAAATCACACATGATGAGGGACTAATATTAGGAACATACAGAGAATTTTTATAACTCTATTCATGTTCCTCCCAAAAGGATAAATGAACAAAACCACGTGAACAGATGCCCAATAGCAATGACCATTGCTAAAGCGCCAAGTCTAAGCTACACTGGCATACCATCTCCCACCCATTGGGATGGCGACAAACAAGCAACAAAGGACAAGGCACAGCAAGAGGCAGCAGGGAGGTGAAGGAACAGGCGTGCTGGTGTGCTACGGGTGGGAATGTGTAGTAACAGCCACTATGGAAACAGCAGGGTAGCTGTTGAAATAAATGAAAACTACAATGGTCACAGAATCCAGCCATTCCACAGCGGGGCCTGGATCCACCCACGGATGAACGAACAAGTCAGTACAGTCCATATACACTACCGTAAAAAGGAAAGGGGTTCCCACACACACCACAGCACGTACAGACTCTGAGGTCATTGCGCTGAGCACGACAGGCCAGACACGGCCAGACAACCACTGTACGACCCCACCTGCATCAGGCGCTGAGGGCAGTCAACTACACACAGAGCAGACAGAAGGGTGACTTCCAGGGGCTGGGGCTATGGCACAGCGGGTAAAAGCCTCTGCCAATGACGTTAGCAGCCTGCATGAGCACCAGTTTGAATTCCAGCTGCTCCACTTCCAATCCAGCTCCCTGCTCTTGCACCCAGGAAAGCAGCAGAAGATGCTAGATATTAAATGTTTAGAGACGGATGCTGCTGATGGCCACGACCGTGTGCATGTGCTCAACCCCACCGGACTACATGAGGCTACAAGAGGGAAATGCTGTGTTCTTTGTATATTTCATCAAACAAATGAGGGGAGAAAAGAATGAGAGAGACTATGAAGGAAGCAAAGTACAGAAAAGACGGAAACTAGAGACAGAGAGAAAAAGAGAGATGGGGAAAGAAAAAGAGAAGGAGGGAGAGAGTAGAGCAACAGAGGGAAAGAGACAGTGTGTGGAGGAAGAAAGGGAGAAGCGTCGAGAGTGGCCAAGAACAAAGGGAGGCAGGGATGAAAGAAAGGAGAGAAGGAGGGACGGAACGGAGCAAGCAGAGGGAGAGGGGAGGAGGGAGAGCAAAGACGGCCGTGGGGAACAGCAGCGGAGGGAGAGCACGTACTACTGAACGAGGATCTTCACCAGGTTGATGTGGCCGCAGGTGGCTGCAGCGTGCAGGGGCGTCCACAGCTCGTTGTCCTTGGCATTCACGTTGGCACCATGCGAAAGGAGCAGCTTGACAATTTCCTCAAAGTTGTCGATGCAGCACTGGGAAGGACACACAGGCAGAGTGAGCTCCAAGTAGGGCCCCAGGCCCTGGAGGGTATTCACACACCACACTACTCACAAGAGGCCATGAGAAGGACAGTGTGGACCGGTCTCGTGGAGCCTGAGCCCTGATCTGCTACTTACAGGCTGTTAGTATCACCCTTGACCTTGGGTGAGCCACATAAGCTTTCTGAGCCTCAGCTTCCTTTTCAGTCACAAGGAAGCTCAAGGTACAAAGTACCCTGCAGGTGTTGGTGGAATGGGACACGATCTGAATGAGTTTTTGTAACTTTTCTTTGAAACCCAGAAGGCTTTTTCCAAACAAAAATAGCATAGACGATTCTGACTTGGATACCCATTAAATTCAGGGAGGACTGTGAGGGTTCTGCGAGGCTGTGTGGGGGTGAGACGGTCCCCTTCCCAGCAGAAGCCTTCATGATTGAAAACCTTGGGTGCAGAAACGCAAATCTTGGGGAGACCCCTAAGAGCCTCCCCCGGAGAGTCCAGCTGCATGTGCAGATCCTGGGGATGGGTCCCAATGTCGCCTGCACAAGCAGACAGCAGGCACCTATGTCTACTTGGATGGAGCAGGGCCACAGCCCCCAGGGGAAAGCACCAGCAGGGAGAACCCACGACTCCCACAAGGCGCCACACTCCAGGGATGGGGATCCAAGGAGTCAGAGGAATCCCTGGCCAGGGCCACAAGAAAGGAGTGGTGAAGAATGAGGGGAAGGCAGGATGCCACTAGGCACATGGCACCTAGGGGTGACCTCTGGAGAAACCAGCGGGCACCACAGCAGGTGAACCTGCACTCCTCCCTCTCCATCCCAGGACGGGTGTGGTACCCAGTGCAGGGGGAACATGGAAGAGATACACTTAGAAAAGTGACTCAATAAGACTTGCTCCTCTGGCTACATATGGAGAACAGTGTGTGTGTGTGTGTGTGTGTGTGTGTTGGAGGGCTGATGGTGACCTGGATGACAAAGCTGCCCATGAGGGTGGGAAGTATCCCCTGGGTGGCAGTAGTGAGCACAGGCATCTGTGTGAGCCCACGGCCCTAGGAGGCTGTGGGTAGGGCTGGGGGTGTGGGTGGGAACGTGGGTAGGAGGTGGCACAGTGCCATATTCACCACCCTCATCCCCAATGGGAGCCAGGGCTCTGTGCCCAAGAGACACATGGGGAAGGGTCACAGATGATGCCGCAGATCCAGCTTCTTTCTATACCAGCTGGTCTGGAAGTTACTGGATCGAAGGGTATCATTCTGGGTAGGTGGGGAAGGTGTGAAGCCACGGTATGGGACAGTTACACACCAGTGGTAGAACTGTGCAGAGGCAAGATATGGCCAGCAGAGGGCACCAAAGGAATCAGAGTTACGGTGCCAAAAATAGGGTCCCCAGGCCGACACTAGGAAATGGGTCTAGGGACAGGACAGGACCAGAGATCCCACTTTTACAAATCACAGAAATGTAGACATGGGGTGGCAGACTCGGGTAGAAAGGGGAGAAGACTGTGCACCCAGGCAGAATTAGAGTGTGGTAGGAAGGATTACGGATGGGGCTAGACCAGTCTGTCCTGGGAGATACAGCCTGAGAAAGGGGACCACATTGCAAGCCGAGTATAGGGGGCCTGCACATGGAGGAAGGGACATGATGGGGCAGGCAGGCAGACTGCTTCATACACATTCACCAAGGTGGTAGATGCATGGGGCATGACTTCTTCCTCTCTCCTTCCACCTCCTCATTTTCTAAGTACATCCAATCTACTAGCAGGTGCAGGTTCCAACTCCTACATGGTGCTCCCATCCCCACCGCCCTGGCAAGACTCCACCACCTAGGAGTGCTTCCCTGCCACTCCCCTTCCAAGCGTCTGAAGTAGAAGGCTCCCTCAAATCTAACCATGCTGCTGTCCCAGCTTAAGAAGCTCCAGAAGGAGCCCCGGCCAGGCCAGCAAGGCTCTTCTCCATGTGACTCCATCAAGATTGTGCCGAGGCAGCAGTGACAATGGCAGAGACGACCACAGGCCTGGGATGGTGGCAGCGACAACACATCGTCCCACACTGACAGGCCTGACAGTGAGAGTCAGGCACTGCCTCATCTAATGGCCCAGACGGATCCCACTAGCCCCATTTTATAGATGGGAAAACTGGCTCAACGTGGCCTAGGTGCACATGGTCAGACCTAATAAGAGATGGATGAGAACCCAGGATTACACTGTACACAGGCAGGCTGGCCTCCAGGAAGGCCCTGTTCTTAGCCTCCAGCACTCACACCATGCCACACAAAACATGCCAAGGCCCAAACTAGAAATGAGGGCCCCTCCGTGTGCCCCACTTGCGTCATCTGCTTCCTCTGCGGAAGTGTCCACTCTGTCCCTTTTTACACAGCCTCACCTCCCTGCACGTGGTGGGCACGGTCCCTCAGGCTCCAGCTCCCTGCCCACAGCTAGGGGGCGCTGTCCGCCTCAGGAATGGCTGCTGCATCTCCATTCCGGGGTGAGTGGAAGCACGGAAGCCCCCTCCCAGTCTCCACTCTGGGTGGCATTTCAGGCACCCTGGAGACCACAGGGCCAGGAATCTGGGTGCTTCCATGGGCAGGATCCAGCAGGGTTACAGAGACGACAAGCAGGTGCTTGAGGTTGTAGGGGACACACAACAAGCTGCGGAGGGCCCGTCCCATCCTTAGGCTACACTCAGGCCCAGCTGCTCTGAAACCTGGGTCAGGACACAGGAAAGCTCTGTGTGTCCATGCATTAATTCCTTGTGCACATACTGAGCACCAGCTACATGTCAGTGCAGGGAAGATGCTGGAAGATGCTGGAATACACCAACCAGCAGGAGACACGGACTGTGTGCCTGGGGAGGCTGGATCTGCGTGGGTCAAGGCCAACACCAAAAGATCACACTGACTTGCAATGCTAAGAGGTGTGTCCAACATAGCTCAGCTCCCTGGACCGGAGCTAACAGCACAGCACAAGGGGATCCTGCAGGAAGTATGGGGAAAGGAGAGTGGGTACACAGCCTTGGAAAACCAGGAAGCCCAGGCAGGGCTAGGCTTCACAAATGTCAGCCAAGAGTGTATTCCAGGCCTCTGGGTTAAGGGAAGGCATCATACAGTGCCAAAACACACAGCGGGGCAGTGGGGTTTGGAATGAGCTTCCCCCTGGTTACTGCGTGGGGCACAGGCCAAATGCAGGGAGCCAGGGAGGAGCTTTGGGAGCAGCCCCATGCCCTGCAGGAGAGGGGACCCTGGGCGCAGCCCTGGAGAGGCTCCCTTATGGTATGTGGCCATGGACAGATCACATGGCCCCCATGATACGCCCTGTTGCCAGGGTGGATGGAATGTCCTGGTGGGTGTGGACGAGCAGTGTCAACTGTCAAGCTCACTGTGCTGGGAGGTGAGGATGCAGGGAACAAAGGCTCCGGCCACAGGACCGTGCACACAAGGCCCTGTGGCTGCATCTGTAACTGACGCTCCCATCTCCTATACCATCTCTCTGATGGGCCACCTGTGGCTCCCCTTCCCTCCCTGGGCCGAAAGTTCAGGGCAAGGGGGCTCTGTGTCGGTGGGGAGCAGGGATCCCAGGCTGGCCTTACCTGGTGCAGGGCCGTGAGTCCGTCTTCATTGCACAGATCAGGGCTGACCTTGTTCTTCAAGAAGTAGCGTACTGCAAGAGGAGGGACCGCAGTGAGCTTTCCGTCACACACATGGGGTGTGCAGGGCCCACCCAGCTAGGATCCCCTCTCCCTCAGGTGCCAACATGGTCGCACTCACTCCCGACAGTCCTTCCCCACAGCACACGAGGAGCCCGAAGCATGAGTCACAGCTCTTTGGTCCAGAATTTCCCAGAGGAGAGTGGCACCCTTGTCTTACCATGGATAACAGTAGGAAGAGCTAAAGACGCCAGCCTTTCCTGCGTGGCAGGTACCATACCACACACCTGACGATGGCCTGTCACTCTTGGAGTCTGATGGCCTGGGTTCAAGTGTGGAGCCCCTTCCCATCTGTGAAATGAGGATGCCTGACTCCCACTCTGAGGAGCAATGTGCGGAGCCATGAAGGTCAGCCACGCCAGGACTGAGCCTGGGGCTGGCTCGTGGCTGGCAGGCAAGTGTCTGCTAGGGCAGCAGTGGACCTGTTGCTGCCTCAAGGTCTCCTACAATTTACCTGATTGTGTGTGTGTGTGTGTGTGTGTGTGTGTGTGTGTGTGTGTGTGTGTGTGTGTGTACACGTTCAGGCAGGACAAGGGCAGCCAGAGTGAACCTCAAAGATGATTTCAAACTTTCCTTGCTTAGGAAACCCCCCACCCCTCCTGTGGAAACCATCCATCCTTTCCTTCCCCAGGCCCTCGTTCTCACCCTGAACCCGGGTGCAAAGGGAGAGAAACCAGCAGCTGACCTACCGCCCTACACACCTCTGCCCAGTCTTGGCAGATCCATGCTCTGACCCTCCCTGGGGCCAATGGGAGGTGCCCGGCAGAGCCCACACTTCTGTCATTCCTGTCTAGATGGATGGAGCTCCCTGAAGGTCGACAGTGAAAGTATGGGCAAGTATTCCAGGAGGTCGGGTGGCCATCATGAGACAAGTGGGTGAACTGGGCTATACAGGTCAGCTCATGAGTGAGGCTCCTGGGTATGGCACTGCAGGGTAGACCCCCCCGCCCCAGGCCCTGCCTGTGGGAGCAACAGGTGGGCCCAGGCTCCCAGACTCCTCTCATTCTCATCCCCTGGCTCTCTCTGGAATGTGAGCCCCGTCCTACCCCCAGGTGGTCGCTGCAGGCCCTGTCTCCACACACAGCTCATGTAACTCAAAAGGCTGCAGGGTGCTTTCCAATCAGTGTGCCTCTATTGGGTGAGGAACAAATGAAGGGCTGTGAAGGCAAGGTGGGGAGAAGGCCACCCATTCTGCAGGACCCAACAACCCACAGGCAAGGCTTGCTGAGCAAGTGGGGGTGACCATGAGGTCACAGGAGCACCCTCATCCTGGACCACGGCCCCAAGAGACAAGCAGGTGGAGGCTCCCACCTGGCAGGAGGCAACATCGCTAACAGATTCTCCCAAGATGCCTTGCTGCTGGGGGCGGAGAGGGGTGACAGGATCAAGTGCAGTAAGCATCAGATTCTTCATAATTGTTCGGACAGGGAGCCTTTGGCAACATCTGGCCATGGTGACCATTTACATTCAAATTAGTAAACACTCCAAATTCAGTTCCTCAGTCAGCTGTGCTCAATTCCAAAGGGCCAGTAGCCACACAGGGCTACCACATCAGAAAGTGTGGAAATAGAAGATCCTATTAGACAGCACTGCTTCGAAGCACTGACACAGAAGCAAGTCCCATCAGCAGCCTCAACACCCTCCACGGCGCCGCACGCATTTGCAGGTGAGACTCAGAGCCCTGATGCCAGCACACAAGGTCCTGGGTGGGCAGGACCCTTGACCGCAGGCCACCTCCTTGCATGGTTCTAGGCTGGGGTGGCAGAGCCTTCATACTGCGGTTCAGGACCCTGGCAGCCCTGGAGCTGGGCAGTGCAGTGTCACAGTTGTATACAGCTGATCGTAAGAGGCACCCAGGCGTAGCGCTTCAGCTACACTAGTGCTTACACTCCAAGTGCTTTGCAGGGTGTTGGCCAGACTTCCCTTGGAGCTCCAAGCGTTTACACAGATTATTTCCATTTTCTGGAAGACTCATCCAGCCATCCATCCACCCTCCAACACACAGCCATGTATCCGCCCACACACCCACTCATCTACCCATCTACCATCAACTGCGTCTCCATCTCCAATGTGCGTGTGCACACACACACACACACACACACACACACACACTCCTACCTCACGCCTCATCCTTCAGGTGTCAGTTCAAATTCCCCAGACACCCCTGCCATGGACTCCCACAGCTGCTACACATCCCATCATGGCCTTATCACAACACAAATCACATCACTGTGTGCGACTGGGCCTTTTGAGCTCTCTGCCAAAGGGACCCTGGGTGCCAGGGGGCTAGGACCATGTCCTGGTACTTTCGGCTCTGTCCGCAGGGCCTTGCACACGATCCATCCTTAAGAATTCTTCCAGGGACCTTCATCGGATTGGCAGCTCCCTAATGCAGTCCCAAGATGCAGCCTCCCCATCTCTGGGCAGGGCAGATCACCCTCTGTGCTGTTGTATGCAGCTTTGCCCATGGGTCCCTCCTACACATCTTGGGGCATTCAGGGAGCAGGCTGACCTCAGGACCACATAAGAAGATCATGGTAAAGCCAGCAGTCAATGAGGTCCTGCGTACCCATGGGCAAACAAGGGGGTACTGTTGCCTGACAGGTGACCCTTGAGGGCAACAGAAGGGGCCTCTGTGTCCCTAACCAAGATGGGCTTCCGGAAGGTTCTACACACAAGAGGAAAGGCTTCGCGCTCCAAGAGGAGCGTGATGGAGTAAGCTTCCCATCCAGAAGACACTCTCAGAGGCAGAACTTAAGCATTGCCTGCCAGCAGCAGCATCTGTGCACGTAATTATTGGGGTGCTCTTCGTGCTGCGGGGGAGCCCAGCCATGTAATTACGCTGATGTCGGGCAGTTATTTTCAGCACAAGAGGTGGGACAAATCACCCTATCCCTAGGAAGTCCTTAATAGTCATGAGCCAAAGCCGCCTTGGCAGTTGTACCTCCTAGCTCTAGATGCGAGTCCAGAGCCTGGCTTGGGGCCCAGCTCACTGGAACAGCATGCAAACAACCTAGTGCCTAACCAAGCTTTCCTGCCTCTGGCTCTTCTTACGGAGCTTTTTCTGTGCAGGGTCCATGTCAGCAGAAGCCAGAGTTGGGAGCCAGAGCCAAGAATCAAAGCCAGGTACTCTGATGCGGCATGTGGGCATCCTAACTGGCACCTAAACCACCAGGCCAAACACCTACCTGCCTTGGGCCCATTTGAGATGTAAATTTGCTTCCCCTTACATCCTGCTTAAAACCTCCTCAAGGCTCCACATTCACTGTTAGAACCAGGTAAATGCGGCTTAGGGGCCAAAACTGGGAAGCAGGCAGCCAGTCCCTACAGACGGATTTATTGGAACACACCCACACTCATTCATCTGCACACCACCTATGGCTGCCTTCACTGTACAACATACTGCATGGCCCACATATCCTAAGATACTGGCCCTCTGGCTCTTTCCAGAAAAGTCTGCAGACTACTGGTCTTCAGGGCCTGTATCACGTGGAGTTGCCTACAGGGCTAATGCCTTGTACAATCGCACAAGGTGGGATTGGATGCCTTGACGCAGGGTGTGAGGTGGGGGGCACTGTCCTTATCACAACCTATATAGAAGGAATGCCTTGGAACTGAGCAGTATGCAGCCTGCTCAGCCATACCCAGACACCCAAACTTCCTTCCTCTGTGGATTCATCTCTTCCTTTTCTGAGCATTCTACACAATGCAGGGAGCTAGCATGGGGCTTTCGGGGTTGACTGGGGCTCAGGTAGCACAAAGGCAAGAGGGACAGGCTCCATCCTCCAGCTGAAGGGCCACCACTTCCAGATGCCCACATTTGGGTCTCCTCCTAGTCTAGAGAATCCAGACTCACCAGGCCTGGCCTTGAGTGGGCCAGAGGCCTGTTCATTCTCATGCATTTGCTTTAGCTGAGGCTCCTTTCTGCACCTCTGTGTCTTCAGCTGTCCACTGGGGACCACAACAGTGCCTCTCTCAGGAGACCACTGTGAGGATTAAGCATGACAGTGCTTGACAGGTTACCACCGTCACTGGTTTAAAAACATAAAAATAAAGACAGACACAGAACTCCTGCTGGGTCAGCCTGCGTCAAGGCTGATTGTAAAAGACAGAGTCCCTCTCTCCACAGAGCTCAGAGCACCTGCTGGGCCAGTGCCACTGCAAGACCATGATCAGGGCCCCTATCCCCTTACCGAGGCAGGATCCCACTGGGATAATAAAACAGTGGCTTAGGCCCTCCTTCTTCGTGTAGACTGCTCCTGGCGCCAGCCCTGCCCCTCCACCCACAACCTCCCTGGCAATCTGGCTGGAATCTGGGCCAAGCAGGGCCATCTGCTCCCCTCCATCTCCAGCTGTAGCGAGTGAGGCTGCACCAGGCTCCTCAGCAGGAAGCTGGTGGCGGCTGCTGCCTTTGCAGGGAGAGTGGCTGCTGACAAGCTTGTGTTTTCTTTGGCATCTCACCCACTTGGCCCACAGAGCAGGAGGCTTGACCTCGACGACGGGGCAGTGCTGACAAGGAACCACAGGTGTGGTCCCTGCTCTTGCCCTGGGGGCAACAGGGACAGGGAGACAAGAGATGTGTGCCTATTGGAGGTAGAAGTGCCCGGGATACCCGGGGCAGGATGCCCTGAGGCTCAGCTGCTACCACCTGGCCACATGACTGGCACCGCCCTGTTCACATGGTACCCATTTAACCAAGTCCTCCCTTCCCACCTACCTCTTTTCCTGCCTGTTTAAGGCTCTGCTTAAGATCCTTAGAGTTCCTGCCCCGCCTCCCCAACCCCAACCCATGCAGCATTAACTTTCCTGTCAGCTCCTCCTTGTGTCTTCACCCCTCTGCTCAAGGACAATTGCTCACTAAGTCAGCCACACTGTCCTCTTTCAAACAAAAATAACTAAGCTCCCTGCTGCCCAGCCTGCCTGGAGCCCTCTTTCTCTCCTTGCCTTGAGGCAG